CCAGACTCTTTTGTTAAAATAAATCAAGAATCACAAACAATGAAGAAACAAAACAAAGTACAGACAGTTGCAAACTGTGCAAGCAGAAAGTCATGAATATGGAGCTCTGTGTGCTGTCCAGCACCTGCAGCAGGCTTCACTCAGTGTCCATAGTGTACAATACTTTTTAACCACATCCAAAAGCTTCTAAAAGATGGTTTTAAATGGTAAAAACGGATATATAAACACAACACAGGGAGTTAATTTGATTAAAAAAAATAACGTTATTGCGTTATAGCTTAAATAAACGTTATCACGCAAAAACAACAGTGCGCATACAATTTAATAAAGCTTTTTTGTGTCAGTTAAAGCGGTTGACTGTTGAAATTCAAATGTTTAACCCAACTGGTTGAGTTACTAAATAAATAACCAAATAAAGGTTAAAATAACCCAACACAGCACCAAATATTTAACTCAGCTAGTTGAGTTGTTAATAAATAATCTAATGAAGGTTAAAAATAACCCAACATAGCACCAAATATGTTTGACTCAACCACTGGGTAAAATAAATAATTCAACTTTTTTTTAGAGTGCATACTGTTAACAATTTATCTACAGTAACTTACTGGCGGCAGTTCGCCAGTAACTTACTGTAAACTAATTACAGCAAAAATGCTGTATTTACATTTACAGCACCATTTGTTTGGCTTTATATGTATTGACAGTATCATATATTTACTGTAAAGCACGCAGTCATATTCACAATGTAAGTAAAATACGTATTACAGTTAAATACTGTGTAATTTACAAAGATTGTTAACAGTGTATTTTATATTTCGATAAGCTAACTGTGATTGATATTAAGAGCGTTGTCCTGTCTGCAGGCCTCAATCTAATCAAGATCTGATCTCAACATCAGCACATTCAAATGAAATATCATGTATAAAACGCAGCTGGAAGGGCATCTGCTGCGTAAAACATAAGCTGGAATAGTGGCAACCGCTGAAATAGAGACTAGGCTGAAGGAAAATGAAAGAATGAATGAATGATTTCACAGAATGGAGGATGCCCAAGTGTATTACATTTCAAAGTAAAACAGGCATAAAAAATCTCATATTTTTTATTTATTTATTTATTTAGATATTTATTAAAATTCACAAGTATATTTTTTATTTTAGCAGAAAAAAAGAGTTTTGTTTATCTATTTAATTATTTATTTATTGAATGTTACCTTGATATCATTTTCTGAAATTATTTTTTCAGCTAAGTCGCCGCTATGTATAATGTTTGTTTATTTATTTATTATTTTTTTGTTATTCTAAATACTGCTCAAGTATGTTTTTTGGGGGCAGAATGTCTACTTGAGTACTGTTGCTGACTGGGGCAGTGCGATTTGGGGAAAATATCTAATTGCGATTTTTCTGACAGATATTGCAATTGCGATTTGATTTGCGATTTAATTTTGTAGTCAAGCTTTAGCTCAATTATCTGTAAGCTGTGTCAACAATTCTGCGACAGCTCTTAAAAATGACCTGTTTTTGTTTGGTGTCTGACTTTGAAACCCAAATATTCCCAAATTGCCGATGTTCTGTTTTTCTTTAATATTAATTTGTTTATTAATGCTTCTGAAGCAGCAGACGCCATTATCCCAATTGTCCGCGTTTTCCTGTTTGTTTATTTTTTTATTGTGGACGTTCCGCATACACTGAAAAAAAATTATTCAGAGATGACTCCTTGGATTTACTAATTTTTTTTATGTAAGGTGGTTGTAAACAATTTATTTGTGTTGAATTTAAACAAACAAATTAAGTTGAACATTATTAAACTTAATTTGTTTGTTTATATTCAACACAAATAAATTGTTTGCAACAGTTCTGCATGCAACACTTTTTTCAGTGTAGTTCAGTTGTGCAATTCTGTTTGGGCAGAATGAAAGTGTGCACACTCACTTGGCTAGTAAGACTATCACACACAGATGGCAGTCAGACATTTGCTCTGGGCGGGGTAAATTAAATAATACACATATATTTCATATTGCAGCCTGTTGCGATTAGCTAATCGCAACATTTCAAATTGCGATTCGATTAATCGCACAGCTCTATTACTGACCGTGTCCATCCCTTTATGACCACAGTGTACCCATCTTCTGATGGCTAATTCCAGCAGGATAACACACCATGTCATAAAGCGCGAATCATCTCTGGTTTCTTGAATATGACAATGAGTTCACTGTACTTAAATGGCCTCCACAATTACCAGATCTCAATCCAATAGAGCACCTTTGGGATGTGGTGGAATGGGAGATTCACATCATGGATGTGCAGCCGACAAATCTGCAGCAACTGCGTGATGCTATCATGTCATTATGGAATGGCCTCCACAATTACCAGATCTCAATCCAATAGAGCACCTTTGGGATGTGGTGGAATGGGAGATTCACATCATGGATGTGCAGCCGACAAATCTGCAGCAACTGCGTGATGCTATCATGTCATTATGGACCAAAATCTCTGAGGAATTTTTCCAGCACCTTGTTGAATCTATGTCACAAAGGATTAAGGCAAATCTGAAGGCAAAAAGGGTAGTATGGTGTACCTAATAAAGTGGCCGGTAATTATATACTGTAACAATAGTAATGATGCTGCACAGCCCTAGTTCATAACTCCCAATAAATAAATAAAAAATGTTTCTTTAAGGAAAGTTTGGTGAGCAGAGGTAAAATAGAGACTTATGGGGATGAAGCATCCTCAGAGGAGGTCTCGTATGAAAGATCTCCTGTGGCCACTGTCATTCACACTGAGAGGGTTTGTATGCGTCGTACTAAACAGCTGTGGAAAATGAGCACTCATTGATTTCATGCATATGGCACCCACGCACACACACACACACTTAAGACTTCCACTACAACACAGCCATCCTAGCGTAACAAAGCCACAGGGAATATAAGAATTCTTTTTTCCGTTCTAATTTAAGCACATCTCTCATTTAATGCTGTGTATTACACACGATTGCACGCATCAACTGATTATCTCTGCATCACAACACTAGGAAACAGAGAAGAGTTATTTGATCTACTATGAAATGGCATTCCCTTGAGCACAGATGTGACAAAGAACATCCAGCAACATGAGAGTTTACAGTGTAATACACCAAAAACAAGGCTGCAGATGGACTGCAAGCGTGTCTGGTGCACATGCCCAATTCCTGCAGGCTTGTATGTGTGAATATCATATTTTAGGAAAGGCACTGGAACTGTTTATTACTGTACTGCCTCCTATAATTGAGATTAATGCAGTTCGGCGAGCACAACATGGAAAGACGCCAACATTATAATCTGATCCTCTGCACCAGGTGTTGAGTTTTCAGGAGCTGTTTAATAGGAAAGCGTCTGGTTTGGAGTACAACTACAATGTGACGTGGCCTTAACCTACTTGCAACAAATAAAAATAGATTTCTTTTCTAGTTGAATTAGTTGGTTATGTAGACAGATTTACTGCAAATCCCCAAAGGACAAGCATCTGTTTCCTACTTTTTTTTTTCTTCTTCTGCCTGGCACAATTGTGCCATCTAGTGACACTGTTGAAGATAAAATACTAAATGGACGGATGTGGTCAGTCTCAGAAAGGCAGTCTGACACCATGTGAGAGTGAGACTTTGCCATGTCAAAGAAAATTCACAACTAGATCTATTATATATATATATATATATATATATATATATATATATATATATATATATATATATATATATATATATATATATATATATATAGAGAGAGAGAGAGAGAGAGAGAGAGAGAGAGAGAGAGAGAGAGAGAGAGAGAGAGAGAGAGAGAGGGAGAGAGAGAGAGATTTTTGAAGGTTCAAGCGTCTAAGTTTTGTTAATTTGTATAATCCTGTTGAATGGAGGACAAAACCTGCTACAACAATAAAATAAATAAATAAATAAATAAATAAAAATGCAAATAGATAAATAAATGTGCAAATAAATTCACAAATTCATGCATAAATAAAACCATGAATAAATATGCAAATAAATACATATAAAAATACATACATTCCTGCATGAATAAATATTTTAAAAATTAATAGAGCGGGCAAGTAAATGCCATCATTGGTCGATCTTTTTGCAGGTATCGGCCTCCATAATCTTTTTTTTTTAAACAAATCAGATTTATTAATTATATTCATTAAAATAATAGTTGGTTCCTAAACATCTTTAACAAATAACTTGATGCATTTTTTTTTATTTCTCTATGTTTTTCTTTTTTTTTTTTTTACATTTTTACGTAATATTTTTCCCTTACATATACATTTGTAGACCATTATCATTAGTTTTTTCATTAGATTAGCTCCATGTTTAACAAAGAACTGTCTAATTTAATGTATATGAACAAATATAATATTATTTTAACTGTTGTATGTATGTGTGTGGGTGTGTGATAGATAGATAGATAGATAGATAGATAGATAGATAGATAGATAGATAGATAGATAGATAGATAGATAGATAGATAGATAGATAGATAGATAGAATATTTACATGATATTCTAAATTCTACTTAAAAAAATACCATGGTATACATTATATATGTCGAAAAAAGCATACCTTAACATCAGTTGTCTATTAAGCCTCAATTGGTCCATCAGTTATTTCATTTAAAACATGTAAGAAGACTCATAAAACCTTCAAAGTGTATGCTACTATCTGATAAGGCAACAATAATATATAAATGTATATAAACACAACGACTCTTCAGACTCTTATTTGAGTTCATTTGAACTATTCTGGTAGGCCATGCTATTTGTTTGAAAAACCTACAACATATATTTAGAAAATACTTCGAAAATATTGTACTTATATCAAATACTTAAATGATTTGCACCTTTTATGCTGGGTTTCAAGAGGATTTGGATGCATGGCGTTCGGGTATTGTTTCTCACGGTCAGTCAGCATACTTGAAAACACGAGCAATCGTGTATCTCTTGATATAAGGGACTCCCACTTCGGAGGGTTCTGCGCAGGTTTTGCGCAGAGCGGATGCGCACGAACACACTTCAGCCGTCTTATTATCTCAGAGGAGCCGTGAAAACATTATTGTGTTCATCTGTGTCGAGCGAATTCTGGCGTTACCGATCATTTCACATCAATAAACGAACAATGATCGATCATCCGGTGACTAGCAGATGAGCCAGATCTAACCGTCGCTTAAAAAAGGCGAAAATTCGGCTACATTGTCAGGTGAGTAAACTGAAAGACATTGGGAGAAGACGCAGCAAAATCGCCAAAAATATAAATATATATTCAAGTAAGCCGAATGATGATGAAGATATGCCATTTTACATGTTTGTGTTGTATATTTCGACAACATTGAAGTGTCGAGGGTTTGTTTTTTAATGTGAAAAAGGCTGTTCTTGCTGTGTTTTGGTCAGGGTGTTGTCCTGTCTACAGGCCTCAATCTGATCTATCAAATATCAGATCTCAACATCAGCACATTCAAAACCTCAGAAATATCACGTTTGAAAGTGTTTGTAGAGATATCATTGGTTAATGTACTAGTTAAATGTGTACATAGGTCGATTTTTGTGTTTTCTGTTGAGTTGTTGAGGGATTTGGGCCTGTAATGCAATTTAAAAGAACGCTCATCCCATTTCTGCTAACCTACATAAAACCAATATTGTGTTTTATTGATGCAATATAACATAACGGATCTATCGTTACTGTTAACAGTGTCGTTTTCAATATGTCTATTTTGTTGTCAATATAACCATTTGCTGTATGAGTATTATTACATATTTTAAATTATATTGTTCTCAACCAATCAGCCTAAGTTAGCCTTTGTTACTTTTGTTTACACGTTTTATGTCTAACGTTAGTAGTGTAGTGTTTGTATTTGACATAATTATTTTTATAATACAAAATAAGTTAATGGATGGTATTACTATTATATATATATATATATATATATATATATATATATATATATATATATATATATATATATATATTTATATATATATATATATATATATACACTTATATCGTTTGAGCATCGATATTATTTTTTTTATACAATAAAATTATAATCGGTTTAATAATTTGTTATCTATATGATACAATTTTTTTTTACACTTGATTTTTTTTTTTTATTTCTGTACTTGCATACTGCTAGACTCCCCGGAAAGCCATAAAGAACTGTTTATTTATTTTTACTCATAACTTATTATAATTTTTGCAGATGTACTGCATAAAAAAAATACTTCACAGTTGATCTAGATGAAAAGGGCTTTTAAAATCATTAACTTTTATTAATATTACAATTTATATTATGGCACAACATAACATTACAATGTCAGATTTTTTCAATATTGTGCAGCCCATATATATATATATATATATATATATATATATATATATATATATATATATATATATATATATATATATATATATATACACATTTAAGTGTTAAATACAAAACTATTGTAAGGCTATTATTGTTCTACCACTTTAAATCAAGCTCATTGTAGACTGAATCTACTGACTTTAATTTTTACTTTCGCAATGTGTTTATTTACAATAGTCACATCGCAGGATTAGATTATTTATTAAAGGTTAAAATTAATACATTTTATTCTTTTTTTGTTTTTTATTATTTATACAATAACTTTTTTTTTTATACCCTTGATTGTTTTTGTACTTGAATACTGTTAGACTGTTCGGAAAACCACAGAGCACTGTTTATTTATTTTTGCTTGTAATTTATTATAATTTTTGGAGATGCACTGCATAGAAAAAGACTCCCCAGATGATCTAGATGAAAAATAAAGCTATTTAAATTATCTGGTGAAGTTTTAATTTATATCGTATATGTTTATTATGGCAAAACAAAATATTGCAATGTCAGATTTTTACAATATCTTGCAGCCCTTATATATTTATATAGAAATATAATTGACATTTTTAGATTTTATTATTAATATTTACAACATGTTTATGTTGTATGATGGAAAAAACATTTACATATAAATGTTAAATATGAAACGATTGTATAACTATTATTGTTCTGTCACTTTAAACTTAGCTCATTGTAGACGGTTTATTTATTTTTCCTATTCACAATGTCTATCTGCAGTAGTCCCATCGCAGGATTCTTTTATTCATTGAAGATTAAAATTGATTCATTTTATTATATTTTAAAAATTATTTGTACAATGATAACCTTTTTTATTATTATTTTAAATTTTTTACACATGATTGTTCACTTCCCAGTCAATCTAGATTTAAATAGAGCTATTATTATTATTATTATTCTGCCATTATACTGACAAATTATACTGACTTTATATATTTTTTGCTATTTTTGCACAGGATTTTGTTAAGAAATTATTTTGCGATTTGAAAAACCACACATACAGTAAATAAAAGGTTAATAATCAAATTAAAGCTTCAGCAGGTCTCTCATATAATACATTCAATAATGGACAAAGTATTACTTTACAAATTGTATTGTACATACATTATCTAAAAAATAGCATTTTATTAAATAATAATATTACTGTAATTAGTGTAAAAACTGAACATATATATATATATATATATATATATATATATAAATTTTTATTTATTTATTTATTTTTTTACACGCATTAACTTGTAAAAAAGTTAATAGAATGAATGATGGGCTCAAAAATCTGTGGATTTCTGCGGCTGTGTATTTTGTGTGGGCTAGTTATCAGTATTGATTATACAACATAACTGATTTTATTTTATTTTTTTAACAAACACAAAACATTTTAGTATTTCTTTTATCGGTTTGTTTCAATGGTTCTTTCCCCCCTCTTGTTCATAAACCCGACCTAAAATGAATGTCTGATATTGTAGCATATTCAGTTCTAGCATCATAAAATGTCCCGTAAATGGTTTGCCTGTAAAGGATTTGGGTCATGATATATTTAGATCATTTCTGCGTCTGATTTGGGCCAGATGCTATTAAGAGCACGTTACATGATTTGTGCGATCAAGCCAGACGGATGTATTAGAGACAACTTTACAGATCTGTGACAGACTGTCAAGATTGCGAAGTAGTTGGTTTCTCTCATCCATTGTGTTTCTGGTTTCACTTTTAAAGAGATAGTTCACCCAAAACTGAACATTTACTCATCCTCAAACCTTGATGAGTTTCTTCTGTTGGACACTAATATGAGATTTTGAGTAAAGCTGAAAACCTGTAACCATTGACTTCTATTGTAGGAAATACCATGCAAGTCAATGGTTACAGGTTTGCAACATTTTTCAGAGTATCTTCTTTTGTGTTCAACAGGAGAAAGCAAGTCAAACAGATTTGGATTAAGGGAAGGGTGAGTAAATGATCAGTTTTTGTGCCTTTTAATCTGCTTTCAAATATTAACAGATGTTTTTTTTTTGGTGTGTAGCGCAGGCTTTATTTACATGTATTGCATAAATAGTACCCTTGCTTGTTAAAGTGGAGTACTTATAAGATGAGTAGTTAAAAATGCAAGAGCTTTAATCGCCACAATGAACAAAGAACTCAAGCTGCTGCTGTTTGCTCGTGACTTTAGCCGACTTAGGCAATGTAGTTTGTAAACAGTGTCCCGTTTGTTACATTGCTGACAGCAGTGTGTAGGCAGATTCTGATTCTCTGCATTATTACAAAAATCTCATATCCGATATGAGTCTACTGTATAGACTTGTATACTGATTAGTGTTGTAATGATATGAGCTTTTTCATAGTTGATAATTGTCTATATTCATTCTTTTATATCACATTTTACCTGTTTTTATGTTGTTGTTTTTTACTCATTTTTATTATTCGTTTTTATTTTTATTTGACTTGTTTCTTTTATTTTTGTTTATGTAAAGCACTTTGAATTGCCAATGTGTATGAAATGTGCTATATAAATAAACTTGCCTTGCTTATATATTTACACAGTTTAAGTAACAATTATTAAAAAGTAAAAAGGTAAAAAGTGGCTTTTTTAAAGGAATTAAAGGTTTTAATGAGCCCTATAAATGTATTGTGAAAAATGTAGTAAAATAATTAATTTTCTTTATGATTTCTGTGTTTGTTTATTTATTTATTTATGTATTTATTAAGATATGTTTTAATGTATATTTTTAAATGGTTAAATGTTTTTAATTGTATGATAATCATATACATTCAAACCATTTACGGTGACACTTAAATATATATTAAGGCTGCACAATATATCGTTTCAGCAGCAATTTTTGCAATGTGATCATTGGCAATGCAATGTTGAGTCTGGATTATTATTAAATATTTTGCAAGCATTTTTTTTTCCAGGCTTGTGACTATGTGAGGGTTTTAAAAGCATTCAGGCAAGAGAAATTGTACCATTTGTACCTCTGACAAACTAGCAGTGATTAATGTTATTGAATAATTTATAAAAAGAAGACTATGCAGTATTATTTTATTTTTGATTACTTAATTACTGTATACCTGAATACAGTTCGACACCTTGGAAAACAATAAACAATGGTTTATTAAATAAATACAATGGTTTATTAAATAAATACAAATCTTATTTTTTTTTTCTTTATTGAATTTATGTTTGTAGATTTTTAAGTTTATTATTTTTATTTTTTTTACAGAATCATTCCAGTCAATCCAAAATAATTATTTAACTCATCTAAGTTAAATATTCATATTGCAATATATATTTCAGAATAAAAAACACAATGTTATATATTTTTTTCAGTATCATGCAGCCCTAATATATAATAATAATAATGATAATAATAATAATAATTAATTAATTATTTTAATTATTAATTAAATAAACATAAAAAATAGAACATATTGACCACATGGAAATAAGTTTATTTTAATCCTTTTTCAAGTATTTTATTAAAAATTGCTAAATAAATTAAATTTAAAGATCAGAATCGTATCCATTTCAGTGTTTCCTCAGGGATTTTTTTTCCAGCTGTGGCGGTAGACACGACGAGAAGTCGTGGGCGCAGTATTCAGTTGAGATCGCATTAATGTAATAGCTTACGAGCATGTTAATCTCTGCTTGAGCACCGATTTCCTCTGTTCGTGCACAAAACTTCTTGCGCGCCCTCACATATACGCTGCTCAAGTGCAGATTTTCTTGCGCGGCCTCAAATAAACGCAGCTGAAGTGTAATTTAGTGTGTTTATGTTCCGAGTATGTCTCCAACATTTATTAGATTTTCTAGGAATATTTATGAATGTCTCCAATAGACTTGCGGAGCAGACCGCGGCATTAATTCATCCTGAAGTAAAGTGAAACAGCTATAAACTCCAGCAAGATAAAGTCATTATATGCAGAGCCACAGACCTTTGTCTATAAATAAAGTATTATTATGTGAAGTTTTTAAACTAATTTCGAGAGGAGCACATGATATAATTGACAGCAGCTGGCCACCTATCTACACTCATTAGTTAGCCAATCAGATCTATCCTAACCCACTATAAGTAGCCTAGCTAGACATTACTCCCTTATCTTCGTTTTCCGAAGAAACCCCCCATCCACCCCTTTCTCCTCCTTTTCTCCTTTACAAAAAGGGGAGCTCTCGAGAACCACCTGATCTCGTACTCCCCTCACATGCTCTATGGACCTGGCGGGAGCCCTGGGCTCAACTATCTCCGAGCTCAGGGTTCTCTCCCGGGACAGCATGCCAAACCTGCTTACAGCTGTCAAGCAATATCTAAGTGTGAACTCTTGAAGGAAGCCGTGTTCATCATAACTGAAAGCTACGCCATGTTTGCTGGCCTCACGCATCACCCACCTGTCAGTCAGTCAGTCAGCACGTCACCTTGAAGGGTTAAACTGAACGCACAGCACTACTATGGTCACAGAAATGTTTGCGCTGTTATTATTCACTTACCTTTTAATAACTTTTCGTTGGGATTTTAACCCACTATTTAAAAAACGATCGAAAATTTTGAGTAAGAAGCTGTAATGTAGCTGTGGCGGGATGAATTTTGGTGTGAAGAATAAATGTAGCGGAAACCATGCATTTAGCTGAGACTCATTTATGTTGTCAAGTGTAAATGGAATCGTTTTCACAAATCAGATCAGAGAAATCACATTAAGTGACAAGGTGTAAACAGGCACCAAATATATAGCATCACCACGAACAATGTAGTTTATTTTTTGATGCTAAAAACTAGAGCGTAATATGAAACTATATATATTTTATTAGTTTTATTAGTATTTTTAAAATTTATTTTGTTTTGTCAATTTGATATAGATAATTGTCATAATGCACAACCCTACCCTTCATCTTTTCCTGATTTACATTGTTGTTGTTTTTTTTTTAATGTTTTTACAGTATGGCTAGCTGCGGTGAGGTCAACCTAACCGTGGACTCCTTGACTTCGGGCAAGAAGGTAAGTGGAGAGGCCGTACCTGAGGGAAGTGGGTCACCTTCATCTCCTTCTCTGCCCGTCCCGGAGTGTCCAATCTGCCTGCAGAGCTGCGTCCACCCTGTCCGCCTGCCGTGCCGCCACATTTTCTGTTTCCTCTGCGTAAAAGGAGCTTCCTGGCACAGTAAACGATGCGCCCTGTGTAGACGCGAAGTCCCTGAAGACTTCCTAGAGCGTCCGACTTTGCTCTCGCCTGAAGAGCTGAAAGCCTCTGCGACCGGTGGATGCGGGACGGGGAGCAGCGGTCATGCTTGGTACTACGAGGGGCGTAACGGATGGTGGCAGTACGACGAGCGGACTAGCCGAGAGCTGGAAGATGCGTTCAGCAAAGGCAAGAAGAGCGCCGAGATGCTAATTGCCGGATTCTTGTACGTAGCCGACTTGGAAAACATGGTGCAGTACAGGAGGAACGAACACGGGAGGAGGAGGAGGATGAAGAGAGATGTTGTGGACATCCCTAAAAAAGGCGTGGCGGGATTAAGACTCGATCCAGATCCTAATTCGTCAGCCGGAGCAGTTCCGGCGCCAGCGGTTGTGAACGTTAGTGTTGACGGAGCCGCGGCCGAGCGGGAGAGTTCGGCTGATGGAGCAGACACTGGGGTCAGCGGAGGACGTCCGCAAGGCACTTTTGTTCCCGCTCCAATAAGGCCGCCAACTATTTTGGGCGGCCACTTAACCAGTCCTGCATCCTCCAGTGACATTCAGCTCGTACAAACTCTCGCCCAACTCAACATCAGCCCCAATGAGCAAGAACCAGAAGAGGAAGACGCAGAGGACGAAGACGACTCAGCTGCTCCAGACGCCTCCGGATATGATTCTGAATCTGGAACCAGTGATGATGATGAGCAAGTTGAGGATGAAGATGAAGATGAGCACACAGATGGGTCGCAGGGTAGGCATAGACTGCAGCAGTTGGACAGACCGCCCCCTGGTGGAGGGCCGGCGAACAGCGGAGATCGGTCTGGGTGCCCTGATGGTCAGTGCACCGTTACGAAGGTCTGACCCGCAGCACAAATAAAGGACTCCTACCCAACTACCACAAGCGCTGGGTATTTCTGAAATGCAAAAAAAAGATACCATTTAAAATCAGAGAAAGACGGTCTTGAATGAGGGCGGATGGTTTTAGTGTAAGAATAGTGCTCGACTTTCGCTTTCAGTCTTAGAGGACTGCACCAGGGCTGTACTCTTTAATGGAAGATACAGGCAAAACTACAATAAAGCTTGCTTTTTTTTAATCATAACTTAGAGCAGTGTTTCTTAGCCACCTTCCTGGAGGATCACCAGCACTGCATGTTTTGGATGTCTCTTTTGTCTGTCAGACCCATTACAACATGCGTCTCAAACTCAATTCCTGGAGGGCCACAGCTCTGCCCAGTTTTGCTTTAAACACAGCTGATCCAACTAATAAAGATGTTCATGACTCTTTTGAGCACCTCGGTTGTTTGGATCAGCTGTGTTTAATCAGGATTGGAGCAAAACTGTGCAGAGCTGCAAAACTGTGCAGGAATTGAGTTTGAGACCTAAGCATTACAGGTCTTTCAGTCTCTGCTAATGAGCTGATGATCTCAATCGGGTGTGTTTGGTTAGGGAGATATGAAAAATGTGCAAAGCTGGTAATCTTCCAGGAACATGGTTGAGAAACACTGACTTAGAATGATGTGAATCAGTCCGACCATTACATTTTGATTGAAATTTATTTTAAAGTAACATAAATCACACATTTCTGTGTGAACTTTAAATAGAGAGTTCACCCAAAACAGAAAATCCTGTCATCAATTACTCATCCTTCACAAAACCAGAAGTTTTTAGTGTTTTTTTTTTTTTCTGTTGAATGCTAAAAATATATATTTTGTAGAATGCTGAAAACCTGTAACCATTGACATCCACTGTTGGAAAAACAAATTCTATGGAAGTCCATAGTTACAGGTTTCCAAAATATCCTCTTTTGTGCAAGATGTATTAAAGAACAAACAAAAAAAGAACAACCTCAAACTGTTTAGCATTTTCATAACAGTTAAGCAAATTATTAAGTTCACACTTCACTGAAATTCTCATCCTAATCCAGTAGTCTCAAACTCAATTCCTGGAGGACCACCAGCACTGCATGTTTGGATGTCTGTTTTGTCTGTCACTCCCATTACAACATGGGTCTCAAACTCAATTCCTGGAGGGCCACAGCTCTGCACAGTTTTGCTTTAAACACAGCTGATCCAACTAATAAAGATGTTCATGACTCTTTTGAGCACCTCGGTTGTTTGGATCAGCTGTGTTTGATCAGGATTGGAGCAAAACTGTGCAGAGCTGCAAAACTGTGCAGGAATTGAGTTTGAGACCTATGCATTACAGGTCTTACATTCCCTGCTAATGAGCTGATGATCTCAATCGGGTGTGTTTGGTTAGGGAGATATGAAAAATGTGCAAAGCTGGTAATCTTCCAGGAACATGGTTGAGAAACACTGACTTAGAAATGATGTGAATCAGTCCGACCATTACATGTTGATTTGAATTTATTTTAAAGTAACATAAATCACACATTTCTGTGTGAACTTTAAATAGAGAGTTCACCCAAAACAGAAAATCCTGTCATCAATTACTCATCCTACACAAAACCAGAAGTTTTTATTGTTTTTTTTTTCTGTTGAATGCTAAAAAATATATTTTGTAGAACGCTGAAAACCTGTAACCATTGACATCCACAGTTGGAAAAACAAATTCTATGGAAGTCAATAGTTACAGGTTTCCAGCATTCTACAAAATATCCTCTTTTGTGCAAGATGTATTGAAGAACAAAAAAAAAAAAAAAGAACAACCTCAAACTGATTGGGAACAATTGGTGGATGAGTAAATTATGACTGAATTATCATTTTTAGGTGTACTATCCCTTTAAGAGTTCAGCATTTTCATAACAGTTAAGCACATTATTAAGTTCCCACTTCACTGAAATTCTCATCCTAATCCAGTAGTCTCAAACTCAATTCCTGGAGGACCACCAGCACTGCATGTTTGGATTTCTGTTTTGTCTTTCACTCCCATTACAACATGGGTCTCAAACTCAATTCCTGGAGAGCCGCAGCTCTGCACAGTTTTGCTCCAACCCTGATCAAACACGGCTAATTCAAGTAATAAAGGTGTTAATAGCTCTGAGCATCTCGATTATTTGGATCAGCTGTGTTAGGGTTGGAGCTAAACTGCAGAGCTGCGGCCCTCCAGGAATTGAGTTTGAGACCTAAGCATTACAGGTTTTTCAGTCTCTGCTAATGAGCTGGGGATCTCAATCAGGTGTGTTTGGTTAGGGATATATGGGAAATGTGCAAAATTGGTGGTCCTCCAGAAACATGGTTGAGAAACACTGACTTAGAATGATGTGAATCAGTCCGGCCATTACATTTTGATTTGAATTTATTTTAAAGTTAAGTACCATAAATCACACATTTCTGTGTGAACATTAAATGGAGAGTTCACCCAAAACTGAAAATCTTGTCATCAAATACTTATTCAGAAGTTTTAAGTTGTTTTTTTTCCTGTTGAATGCTGAAAAAGATAATTTGAAGAATGCTGAAAACCTGTAACCATTGACATCCACATTTAGAAAAACAAATACTATGGAAGTCCATGGTTACAGGTTTCCAGCATTCTACAAAATATCCTCTTTTGTGCAAGATGTATTGAAGAACAAACGGAACAAACAAACAAAAAAATCAACAACCTCAAACGGATTTGGAACAATTGGAAAATGAGTAAATTATGACTAAATTATCATTTTTAGGTGCACTATCCCTTTAAAAGTTCAGCATTTTCATAAAAGTTAAGCACACTATTAAGTTCACACTTCACTGAAATTCTCATTATCCTAATCCAGTTGTCTCCAGTTGATGGCAACTCTGCATAGTTAAGCTCCAACCACCTCCAACTCACACCTGCTTAATAGTCTCTTGTGGTTTTAGATCAGCAGTGTTTGATAGGGTTGGAGCAAAACTGCAGAGCTGCAGCCCTCCAGGAATCCAGTTTGAAACCTATGTCCTAATCTGTTCATTAGTCATTATTTTCAATGCTGGATTTCTTTCTGTTCATATAACTGTAATGCATACACTTTGTTCGTAAAAAAATAGTATTTATTTTTGTTCTTAATTTTTAAATGTGCTTAATTATGCGTAATTTCACAATGGAGAAAATCGTAACTATCCTAAATGCAGGTTTCATTTCATATTTGTGTATAATACATAATTTCTACTGGTTTCGTGGAGAAATATGAACACTTTCTCAACAAGTTTTCATTTTCGCAGCATTGCTCATGACCATTATCCAGTGGTTATGAGGTCATAAGAACATCACGCGTTGGTTTTCACCCTAATGATTCTTCAAGGGCTTTAGAAAATGACTAACTACATTTTTTCGGACGATAAAATAAAATAAAATGACTTTTTTGTGACATCACTTTCAAGTTTAATAGTTTAAAATTGCACAGTTCCGCTGTAAATCGAAATTTGCTGGCTTTTTAATTCATCAGTCAGCACATTAATGCAAATGTCGGAACATTTTGTTATGCGCCACCTAGTGTGCAGGCTTTTAATCTGCAGCAAGTGACAAGTTTTGGGAAAAGAGCAAGCATTAGATGCAATACCAGCATAATTCCAAACGCAAAATCTAACAAGAAATAAGTTTATTGTAGTTTTGCCAAGGACTCTTTAACATGCTCTAGTCATAAGAAAACCTTCAGTCATCTTGCATTTAATACTTTATAGTGTTTCATAATGTGAGGTTTAAAACTCTTTAACTGCGTGTGAGTGTTTATTTTTAGCGACTTGTCTTCATTCGTCTGTCTCATCTTGGTGTGCTTTATCTGTTTCATGGATTTGCATGTGTTGCTGTGAGGAGCCCTGGACTACAATGCATTGAACTCTGGGAAAGACAAGCTTTATCAGCTGGTGTAATTTGTAGTTGTAAGTAGTCCTCAGACTGCAGCACACTAATCGAGTGAGTGGATTTCAGCCGTAGGCATCCGAAGTTTTTTGCAATTTTTAATGTTATTATTTTCAACCTGATTGTCACCTCCATTTGTTCAGGTCATTTGTTCTCAACAAAAAGCGAAATGAAAACTAAAATCAAATATAAATTCTTTTTTTTTTTTTTTTTTTTTTTTGGTGTGATTTTTTTTGTTTGTTTTAACTGTGATGTTTTGTTACTGGGTTTATCTGAGAAATAAAGTGTTGTCTGTTTCCTGTCTGAGATTAAACTGTTCTGCTGAATATTTCTTATTTGTATATCAAGGTTTACTTTAAAGGGCACCTATATTATCCAAGAGAGTGTGTTTGACAGAGTGCGCGCTAGTGATGGGAAGTTCGGATCATTTTACTGACTCGGATCTTTGAGTCTCGTTCATCAAGATGAACGAATCTTTTTTTCGAGTCATTTCGTTCATTTGGTTCAATTTGCCAAAATATTATTAAAATGTCACGAGTTGCTTCAAAACACATCTACAACAAGCCCAAAAGGTTGATCACACGACAAATAAATCATAAATAGAATATAAGAAGGAGAAAATAATAATTCAGTGTTTACCTGCTCTTTTGTCTATGAAGGCATTTGTCTCTTTGCTCAGGTCACCTCTTCATGTCTTCAAATGTCAGGGGTTCATTCACGTTACACTGACAGTCACATATAATCTTAATCAATTCACAGTCTAAGCCGATAGGAGCCATGATCGTTTGTTCATCACGTGACAAAATGACTCAAACCGGAGGACTCGAGAGATGAAAGGTTCAATTCTTTTTCCGGCTCTAAACGCATATGATTGGCCCGTGAGGAATGAATGACTCAGACTCGATAGAGAACTCGAGAGATAAACGGTTCGATTCTTTTTCCGGCTCTAAACGCATATGATTGGCTCGTGATGAACGAGTGACTCAGACTCGATAGAAGACTCGGAGAGGTGAGCGGATCAATTCTTTTTCCGGCTCTAAACGCGTATGATTGCCCCGTGATGAACGAGTGACTCAGACCCGATTGAGGACTCGAGAGGTGAGCGGATCAATTCTTTTTCCAGCTCTAAACACATGATTGGTAGTGGTGGGCAAAGTGAGGCTTCATGAAACACTGAAACAGTCGAAGCAAATGTGTCGAAGCTTCAAAACGTTTCGAAACACCACTCTACAGTGACACCTAGTGGTCATTTTTTTATGTATTGCACTGAAACAGCTGCAGCACATAGCAGTTGAGCAAATTGAGGTATTAAACCCTACTTTGTTGGTGTAAATTTCAATCAATGTAGCGGAGCGGTTAAAGTCTCTGACTAGCATTTGGGGATAGTGGGTTCGAAGCCAGGCAATAACAGCTATTTTGAAATGCTTTAATACCAGTTGTTAATGCTTTGCTCTTGAATCGTTTTGTTTCAACATTTGTCTGATATCCGAATAAACCATTTGTTAATAAATATGTCTTGTTTTGGTCTTAAAACAGGGTTGTTGCTAGATCAGAAACTGTGGCCTGAAGATATCAAGAATTATTTATATTATTCATAAAATTTCCCATTTATTGTATTTTATTAATGTCTACCCAAACCCTAAACCAAACTATCACAGTACTGTAAAAATAATTATTATTGTTTTACAGTGTTACAAAAATGATGCTAAATTGATGGCGTAACTGCAGCTGTATCATATTTAGGCTATACAACTACAGAAACATGATAAAAACTCATAAAACCATGATTTTGGAGTATTTGTAGAAGTCAGGATTCGAACCCAAAAAGTCAATTAATGAACAGCAACATCGTGCACATGCACAGTCCACTAAGCCATATGAAATGAGATTTTTCCTGACCTTGGCAGCCAAATGGAGATTCGCCAGGTCTCGAAACGCTTCTGAGGTGATCAATGTTTTGAATCGCTTTAGTCACGTGACCAAGTGTTTCGAAACACTTTAGTCACGTGACTTGGGTGCTTCGGATCATGCTTCGGTGCAGTAATTCGAAACACTTGCGCTTCGGGATCTCGACACTGTGTCGAAACGTCAGTTTCACGTCAGCCATCCCTAGTGATTGGCTTCTGCCAATGTGATGAAGATTTTAAATTAACGATACTACCTGCACAAATGTGCATACGCGCGGATGAACGAATCACTCCCTGAGAGGACTCGTGGTTCCCGAGTCATATTGAAGATTCGTTCAAAATAAACGAAT